GTATTTGCGTCGTCTTATCGTTGATGTCAACCTTGCAAAAGGTATCCATTAATGCGTATCTGCGATCCTCGTACATTGGTTACGCCCAGAAGCTATGCTCAATGCCTTCGTGTTGACTGCACGAGGTATGATCAGCTGTGTTCTACCGTCAAGAGGTACAATAACGACGAAACGCAAGCACGTAATTCCTGAACTTGTTGAGAAAGCAATTAGGCATGACCAGGGTGGAGACATGTTTATGAACATGGCGACGTATGCGAGGTAAACCGAAACATCGCCAAGTAGTGTAGCTCCTTCATAGGGAGGAGATCGCACCGCTCGGAATATTCTGAGCCTGTCGATAAACAACGCTCCACAGCTGTATAAATAACAAAACAGGTGCCGCATAAAATATCTATAGCAGTGTCTTAGTTTAAAAAGTCGGACTGCAAGCCTTCACGCGGAAAGGCACAGCATAACTATGGTGTTTAAACCGCGCCGACCACTTTGCTTTTTTTAAAGAAAGGGAACGAGGTGTGCTGTGCTGGGAGGAAACCACTTCTGAGTGTGAGAAGCGCATCACTGAGATTACTTCTAAATGCTTCATGCTGTATAATAGTGTTGCTTACTGCTGCATTTGTCGAGTTTCCATCCTATAGAACGATGATAATCTCTGGAGCAAAGGAACAAAAGGGTTAAAAGACAAACACAAATCTGCGTGCGACCGAAACAATTCGCCTGGTCCTGGTGTCGAACCAGAGACCTCTCCATTTCCAGTGCAGCGCTCTATCAACTGAGCTAACGGGGAATTAGATGTCAGTAGAGCAAACGTGCTCTGTCAGCTGCCACCAGCCTAACAGCAACAAGGGTGAACGGTCTGCATTTTAGGATTATGATGATAATGAGATTAATGCAAACGCGCATGCGAGCTGGACAATAATGACGATATTAATCCCTCGAGATGGGGAACAAGGGGGGAAAAGGAGAAACAGAAATCTCCAAACAAAGCTAGGTGACTGGTGCGCGACTGAAGATATGCGTATCGTCGTTGTTGTCAAGCTCGCTTGCACCTTTGCATTAATTCCATTATCGTCAATATAAAACGACCTCAACATAATGATAAAACTAACGCACAATTGAGACCCTTTCAGCACTTTTAGTGAGCAATGTTTGTTATTTGCGTTTAGATATATGGGTTAATAGGAAACTACAGTCGAAATACTACACTCCATTTTGAAACGTGGCCTTGGCGCGTGACACCGTAGCGTGCAGTGTATTATTATAAAGCATGAGAGGCTCGTGGAAGCGTGACACCGCACCTTCCACTGCGTTACCGGCAGGCTTCTGACACCAACATGGCAGACTTCCTATGCAGAAAGCCATATATATATACGTGGCTTGCACATATCCAATCGCGCATCGGTTTATGTTGTACACTTTGCTGACGCGAACCAGAAAACATAAAAATCATATTACAGCGCTTGTTCCTTGTTTTTTTTTTTCTAAGCTACGGTGAATAATGAACTATTTTTAATGATAGCTGTACCCCAAGATAGCTCTTAAATAATAGGACAGTAGAATAGAGGCAGAAAGACCGCAAATCATACCTAGGGTCCTTTGTTTTCGGGTAAAACCCAATATTTTTTTTTTATTTTTGATCCAAGAATAAGTTTTATAAAAAGCTCTTTAAACCCGATTTCCCTCCAAAAATCTACTTTCCTTGGAGGCGAAACCCAGCTGAAACTCTGGAATTACGAGACGTTCTAGGATCACTTTTACATGTGTCCCCAAATTCGCTAGTTCGAAGATCACAAATCTGGTCAGATCACGAACTACTGATCCAGTGATCTGTTGGCATGACGCTTTTGCGCAATAACCTAGCGAATAAATATCACGCCGAAAAATATTTATGTTTTACAACCAACCGCGATAATTCAACAGACAACAACACACACATACACCTGATTTGCACGAAAACAGTTGCACTTCCCTTCGCTTCATCGCCCCGCTGTTTGCTGATGGACGTCATTTTAGTCGATATATTTTGTCTATATGCTGGAGTAACCTCCATGCAGAATAAACAGTGATACACGTGTATGTTTTGTTACTGAATTGAATGCCGTTTAAATAGAGCAAGCATAGAACAACAAATTCTCAACTGTCATGGACACTTTCATGCATGCCTTGCTCCGAAGGCGCAATAGACGTTTCGCCACAAACACGGGCAGCAGGAGAGGGCTTCAGGACGGGCTTCCAAAGTTTCGGCGGCTTATCTAGTGTACAAATTGCTCGCTCAGTGCGAGTAGCTGGTCCGCGCATCCTTCGTTTCCAACGGAGCGTTAAGAGAACGTGTGCACACATAGCAATCAAGGCTGATCAGCATGCGGCACTCCGAGTGTTCGGAAATGCAGATGTGAATTGGCAGGCGCCACTGACCGTCGTTCGCGGTCACTTCGCTAATTGGAGTGCCGCAGATGGCACCTAAAGCTTGATTGGAATGTACCGGCTGCTTAATGTCTACGTTGGGTGGCGTATACCGTGACTGTTATACATATCTGTGATACATTCATCTCCGATAACACTAATATGATCCGCAAAAACCAGGAATCTTTAATCGGTTATCATCTTGGCAGATTTCAAAGGAAAGCTCGTTAGGACTTACGTGCATGAGGCGCGTAAAAGACGCCCTTTGAAAGGCGTGATTTATTGAAATGACTAAATTTTGTAGTGAGAAAGGCTATTAGTGAATGTTTATGCCCTCGCGTTCCCTCCCCTCCTTTTTTTTACCAAACACACACACAAAAAGAACAACAATAGCAACAAAACAACAACAGCAGACATTGAGCGCATTTATCACAGCGATGAGGATCGCCTGTTTCAGCATTATATCGTGTGCGTGATAAAGAGAAATGCAGCGTTTACTTAAAAACGCTAATCAACACTTCCGGATTGCAGCTGTGCAGGGATATAGTCCAACAACGTAATGACTTTCTCAAGCTACATTGTTTTCAAGTAAAAAGCAGGGTATCTGCCGCTACATTTACTGTAGAACTTAGGGTGTCTAGAATTGAACATATTGTACTGATTTCCTTAGTAAATACTGGTTGTGATTTGCCATTTTTGAGATTTTTTTAAATACAAATATGTATTTATATACGCGTGCTTTGCGGGAAAAAAAACATATTTGATCGAATTTCAAGTCTTCTAAAGACTTATGACAAGTCAAAGTTTACGATTGCTCTTCCACAAGAAAATCTCTGCTCTGCAAGAATAACAATTCTGATATCAGGCGACTCTTGGTTTCAAACACCTTAATGTCCCTTTATTTCTAATCGATTATTTATACCACGCAATAAACTATATTTCTGCTCTCCCGAGGACCTCCATGAATTTGTTCATATTCGCATAATTTGAGAAGCTGGAGAATTGGAAATAATCCCCGTAAAAAAGCGTGGTTGGAAATATAACAGGGCACCAATATTGACCGCACATACATTTCATAAAAATACCGCTTCATAAAGCAAGTAATTTCGGTCACATCGCCTTCATAAACAAGGCGATGTGACCGAAATTAAATATAGTTTAAATTTACTATTTTACGACAGTCAAAAAACATTTTGTACTAAAACAGATCCACCACTACAAATTCTTACTCAAATGAACTGATTACAGCTTTCGAACAGCACACACGCTCCCATCTGACGTCTTACACGTTAGGCGTACATACAGGTCTTGTGCTTACTGTAATGAGGTCCTGAGACTATCTCTCAGACCATTGTGAGTTTAGCTAGATTTTATGGATATGCCACATATATTATGAAACTTGCTCAAGGAAACTATTTACCCGCAGTTTTCTCTATACACATTACGCAGAGCGTAATGACTGGCAATACGCGAATTCTGATGGAAACATAACGCTCAAGTAGATCGCCTGCTTAAACAGAGTGTAGTTTATTCAGTTAGAAACGGCATCGGTTTTATAGACGCTGATAACTTGGAGTTTCGATATGGAGAGGAAAAAGACCAGTACTGGTCTGGCTCAATGTTTTGTTTCTTTTTTGCGTACACAAGGTTTACTGACGTTGCACCCTAACTAATCTGCATGCAGCCCACCGACAGGATATTTGATTTTTCAATCCTGTCTCGAATGAAACAGTTTTTGGCACGCTAGGTGAAGATGAAAATGGGGTACCCGAAAGGCGACGTACAATAATAATCTAATAAATCGCTTACACGAAACCGCGTACCCAACCATATAAGCGCAACAAATTCAAAATATTTCACCGTTAAAAATACAAACCACTCACAGAATGGCAATCAACTCACTCTCAATCCTTGCATAGTTTTATTACAGAGGAAGGTATCGTGTCAGGGCCGGAACAGTTATATGTATACTCAAGACTGTTAAAATATTTAATGAATTTTCTCGCTCACATTTCAGCACACGCATTCAGGCACAGATTTAAGCATACGCCACGCTTTATGCAGTAATCAAAAAAACCCTATGAGAGCAAACGTATCTCCTTTGCTGCATGTGAAATTCTGGTTATCCGTGCACGCGTCATTTTGCTCACAAGTTCAAAATATTTTCTCAAAACAGTTGTTACAAGAACTGCTTTACATCAAACGTCAACTTTCGCGCCTTACCATCTCAATATTTCACGCTGATCTGAGCAGAACAAACTCCGTGTGGTCTTCACTCACCGAATTACCTTAAAGGGTATCGCTGTACATCGGTTCACTAAAAGTACAGACACAACCGATGCTACGAGTGGCTGGGACCAATCAGACAGCGTCAAAAGCGCACAATCATATGGCTCTCGTCATTTTTCTCGAGATTTTTAGTATCGCCGAACCAGACATAAACAGAAAAGGCGCGGTGACTTGCGCTTTTGATGCTTCTCGATGGTCCCCTTACATCGTAGAGTTGGCTGCGTCTGAACTTAAGGTGAAATGAAGTATAGGAACACACGCATCAAGAGAGAGAGAGAGAGAGAGAGAGAGGTGCATAGAATACTCACGAACGAATATGTTGCTGACGAGCGTGGCCGGTATGCAGAACACCACCACGAGAATGTCGGCCATGGCCAGGTTAACGATGAAGTAGTTGGTCACCGTTCTCATCCGTGGCGACCTGGCCACCACCGCCACGACAAAGCTGTTTCCCAGCAAACCCATCACAAACACCACCGAGTAGGCGAGGCAGAACACAGCCACGATGCCCGGCGAGTAGCGCATCCAGAGGTCTGACGGAATCGAGTAGAGATCGTAATCGCTCGCGTTCCAGGACCCATTGTCTTGCACCGCATTCGCGGTCTCTGACTGGGACGTGTCGTCGGTCTGGGTGTCTCCCCAACGTAGCGTGACGTTGTCGGCGTTCAGCAGGCTTGACCCCAGCATCGCCGGCGGTCTGGTACGCATCATGGCAGTGACAGCTTGTGTCAGGGCCAAAGGATCGCCATAGCTAGAGCTGGTACTCCGTGTCCGTTGACAAAGTTGCAGATGGCTGCCACTGTCTCTTGACGTTCGCTATGGTGCGTGAGTGATATATTTGAAAGATGTCGGGTATGGAACTGACTCCAGTCCTATACTAAGAAGGGTACAAGTTCTGCCTTGTGGCCTGGTGATAAAAAAATTAAAGACACTTACACGTACCCTGAGAACTAGTGCTGAAATATCTTAGCAACACCACTCACAGATTAATCGGTGCCGTTGGGAACGTCCCTTATCCTCGGATGAAGTATTTTCTTTGAGAAAACAACGAATTGCCCAACGTGGTTGCCTAAGAAAAAGGAAAAAAAAAAAAGCTCGCTCCTTAGTTTTTAGATTTGACTGCGTTTTGTAAGCTTCCTAAGCGTAAAATATAGCTATCATTCTCTCTAGCGTCAGGAACTTTACCTGTGAAGCAAAAACTAAACAAAAACACAGGCTTGCAAGCAGAGCAACCGGTCTTATCTCATATTATCTGGAATCCATGTCCATTTGTCTGGGACGAGCTTAAAATTGCATACATGAAGACAGGAGCGTTATATTGTAATCCTTGTCGAAATTTGACCAGCGAAAGAAGTCCAGTTAAGCTAAGGATACCTGTTTACCAGGAAAACTATCCCTCGCTCCGTGATACGGGCTTCTGAGAGCTAAGACTTAAGAGCAAGGGACTGTCCCAGCTTTACCTGCCGTCTCTCCGGTGTCACCCAGCGCAGACAAAGCGGCCAAATCACTCAACAAGAAGGACGTGTCGGACGAAAGGAGAAAAAAAAACAAAAAAACTAACAAGAACGCAAAACTGTTTTTGTGTGCAAAGGTGAGTGAAGGTTGGTAGGAATACAAATAAATAGGCGACCGGAACTGACGTAGCGAGCTCTTCGTCGTCGACGTCCTTGCCGTTATCCAGCGCTTGTCTGGGCCACGAAGCAGCTAGGCTGGGGCACGTGTCCGTCTGGGACCGACGACTGACTGGCGCGCGAGAACGCGCGGGACACAACTAAGCGCGCATTCCCTCTCGCCCTCGCAAACTCCTCCTTGAGGGAGCGATGAGTGGCGAAGCCAGCTCCCTCTGTTGAGACCTCTCCGAACTAGTGCGGAGCTCCTCAAAGCCTGGCTCGCAGTGGAGGCCAACATCGAGAAAGTATTCTCTCCACGTCGCATGCTTTTTTTTTTTTCTTTTTTAGCGAGTTCCCTGATTCAATTTATTGGTTCTTATAAAAGCTCGTTGGCGCCTTTTTGATGACTGCTTAAATTGCAGTTGGGAATGACCGTTTATCGAGTTGCTTGAAAATCTCGGTCAGTTTATTAATTATTTGCCTTTTGCGCATAAAAACTACGTAAAAAATTTGATATTTTGAAAAAAAATACTCATGCTGTGGTCAGCCATAATGGGCAGCATTAGAAATCAACATGGATTCCAAATTATGTAACCATGGGACGAGTTTCCTGTCTTTTCTTTACTCAATTTTGGTCTCATCCCGTTTAAAAGTTGATGCAGCATCAGCATTAAGACGTTTTGATTGCAAAGAGATAATCACGGATAGCCCTATCCATCGTTCCACCCTATGAATGTGCTGGGCATTCTTTTGGCTAAAGATGGTTATTAATTATTTCTTAGCTCAATAGATAAGGATCTAGCTTAAGATGTACAAAAATCCAGCTCTCCTTGGTTACTTTTTCATTGCCCACAGCGTGATTCCATAGTCCGGCCACACTTACTAAAGTAACTACGGAAACACAAGTCCTTCCACTTTGAAGTGAATGGCGACAGACATTCACATTTTTTTGTCGTTCACTTTTAAGTAGAATGTGACAACGTTTAGTTAACAAGCAATAGTTCCCCATACATAGTCGTTAAAAAGTACTGGTGTCTGCGAATATTTTGCACCAATCCTTAGCTAATAAAAGAAATGAACGCTGCCATTATTTTAAAATTGCTATTCGGTATAGGACGTCTTTTCTTTCGTTTAACATGCACTGATAAGCTTCACGTCATGATATCGGCCGAAAACCAAAACAATGTAGAATTTTAAAAGTAAACGTCATTTAAACGTGCTTACAAAAGAAATTTGAGATATATCTCAAAATGGAACAAGCTGCATTTCAATAACAATTGTGCCACCCGTGATGTCTGCCGTAATAATTCTCAGACATACGTATTCTGAAGAAGTTAACATGAAGTGCAACAATTTTCGTTATATCAAGAATATCTTCCTCACCTCAAATTCATTCATTCATTCCTTCAGTGAAGTTACAAATGAGCCCGAAAAAATTTAAAGGCTAAACAATTTAGTTAAAAACGTTAATTAATATCTGCTGCACGAAGTATGATAAACACGTGTTGTATGCGGATCCCGGGGATGATTTAGATGATTTGATTAGCGAAACAAAAAGGCAGGAGAAACTTGTAAAACTCGCATTGCAGCGTGATTATGAATAGATGACATAAGTTGAGGGCAATGGATTAGTTCATAAAGAAATGTATACAAAATATATTGATCTCGCTCACGTCCTCCTCAATTCAAAGTATCATTTCAAACGTCTCCTATATTCAAATATGCTTAACAGCCAATGTAACTATAATAAAATATCTGAGTGAAAAGTTATTGAACACTTTCTATCATCATTTTGCTCGTACACTTACTGTAGTTGCAGACAAAGTGGAGCGTTTTATGCATAATCGACTCAATGAACTTTTTACGTACACTTGATTTCGGCACCAGGTGCATTATGTTATCCATTTGAAACTCATGCTATTAAAATATCAATATGAGAAACTTATAATCCTTCGATATTTAATACTTTTTCGTATAATGAGAGCATTATGTATCTCCCGGACACGCAACCATAGTCAATAGAAAAATAAATTGACCAGGCCTATTCTATCACCCAGTCGATGCCAGTATGATCCTAAAATAAAAAATCCTTGAATTGCAAATTCGTAAAATAACTAGACATGATAAAAATTATAGCAGAGATTTGTATATAAAAAAATGACTAATCTGAGTACTGTGCGAACGACAAAGGATCCAATTCTTAAATAATTATTTACTGTCCAGCCCATCTAGACAGCGCTCAAAGGTTTTGAGCTCATTTAAATGCATAGCTTGCTTCGTGCGACCCACTCAGTTCTTCTCGAGGATAATGGATTTGTCTTTGATTCCTTAAACAATGCAGACGTCAGGCGCGCCTAATTGTTGCAAAGAAATGTCTTTGTTTGAGCAAATTTCTCATTAGTTCTTCTCAATGACACGAGAGACACACTTAAACCTCTGATTAGTTCGATCGGCGCAAAAGTATAACGCGTATGTGTGAAAAAAGAGCGTTTTAGGACACGAAAACAGTGACACAATGACCAGATATCTGCCACTGTTTTGTTTTTCGAAAAGTAGCAGCCTAAATTAAGAACACAATAAGGAACCCCGAGAAGTTAACATCCACGATTATATTGTTAAACCCAAATAAATTTCAAACTTATAGAGGACAGTAAAGTCTAATTGACTAAAATTTTATTTGGTGGGGAAACGTTTTTCTAAGACCTTGGCCCGAAATATCAAATTCGATGAATCCTCTGGGTTTTTCACGACGGAAGACGTGTCTCCTGCCTGACATGTAACACTAATGCAATATCGATAAACATTATTTTGGTGGATCCCAAGTTTCTTCGGGGAAGATAGAGAAATCTTGTAGGCTGCAAACATTTAAAGACACTTCCTCTCAATTTATATACAGTTTCATGCTTTATTCATACCCATTTTAATATTTAAAGAAAATAAACTGGATATTGCCTCTACATGAGATTGCACTTTTTGGAGAAGGAGAGGCATAATAGAATTTTTAAAAAATAAAAGACGTTTACAAATCTCTGAAAAGCGAGATTAGAACGTAGCTCTTGAGGAGGAGGAGAGGAGGGTACCGAGGCAGGGTATGCCCCTCTTCCTCCTCCTCCGTACCCTCTCCTCCTTTCCTCCTCCTCCTCCTCCTCCATTCTCCCCTCTCCCTTCATCCTCAAATTCACTTTCCCCGCTAAATTCAGCGGGGCAAATGACGCGACATGACTTGGTGTCACGTCACCTATGCAGGCACGTATCCAGGGGGGAGGCCCATGGGGCCCGGGCCCCCTCCGAAGTCTTCCATTTTGCTGGGGCCTCTTCTCTCCCCTCCCCCTCATGCAGCATTTTGTCATGGGCGGGCCCCTCCCGAAACAAAATCCTGGCTACGTGCCTGCACCTATGAACAAATTCAGTTTCTCACTAGCCGGGAAATAAATTGGCGTTGAAGTCACGTGGCGTTGATATCCACGCTAAATCTAGCGGAGAAACTGAATTTCCCCGGTAAATTTTTGCGGGTAATTGAATTGGTGCTGAGGTCACGTAGTGGGAAATTAAATTAGAGTTGAGGTCACGTGACGTCAATTTTCCCGCTAGATCTAGCGGAGAACCTGAATTTGTCCGCTAAATCTAGCGCAGAAACTGAATTTCCCCAGCAAATTTTGCGGGAAATTAAATTGCAGTTGAGGTCACGGGACGTCAATTTGCCCGCTAGATCTTGCGGAGAGCCTGAATTTGTCCGCTAAATCTAGCGCAGAAACTGAATTTCCCCGGTAAATTTTGCGGGGAATTGAATTGGTGTTGAGGTCATGTAATGTCAACTTTCCGTCTAAATTTAGCGCGGTTACTCCGACGCCGACGCCGTGAAACGCAGAAACGGCGCCTAAGTGCTGCGCTCTACAAACTGGGAAAGAATACAGAGAGAATAATTGATAGGGGTGACTTGCGCTCCTGTTTATAAGAAGTAGTTTTTACTCTAGAAGGAGTCAATTGTCGTGACTGCAAATCATTCTTTTTTCTTTCTTCTCAAAGTGTCCCTTTGCTTTAATCAATAGCTAGAAAACAAATACTGCTATTCTTCAGATACATTTTTTAGCTGCCTGCCTTTAGTTGAGTTAAGTGAACTACTTCTCTTGTCTCTTTGCCGCCCTTTTTTTGCTTCCGAATGAATAAATAACACAATCACTCTTCATAAATATCAGCCTTCCACCGAAAATATGTTGACCCTGTGCTGTGCTGAAATTCACTCATATGAAGTATCAATCGTATACTCGGGCACCCGAATTATATCAGTCGACAGGGAGAGGACGGTCTCTGCCATAAGTGATCCAAAAGTCGAATTCTTTTTTGGAATCGGAGAAGGCAGACCCCTAATGTAAAAGTCATGTTCGTTGCGATCCCAATGTCTGGTTACCGCGTGTTCCTGATTTGCAAGAAAAAAAAATACAAGAAAGAAGAAAGCAACATATGTGTCTCGTATGACACCTTGGACTCCCTACAGTGGGGGAGGAAATGCACGAAGTAAATTTCTTTCCCTTGCTTCTTCTTTGCAAGAACATAAAACAGACTCTCAGGTCGTAGGCACTTTCTTACTTTCTGACTACCACATTTTTTAACCTCTTTATTGTTTATCGCGTCTGGTACGCATCAAGGCCCTTAATTAACGCTTTTGCTAAGGTTTTGAAGTGGACTCGCACCAGCGTTTAATACCTCATGTTCCGCAGTGAAAGTATTAAAGAAACACTTTAGGACTTCAAAAATTAAACAGATTAAAACCTCAAGGTGGCTGCATATCAAAAGGACACGGAAACCAACAACAAGCGAAAAACCTAAAAGGCACTACTATGCCCACAGCTGCTTGCTTACATTTCTGCCTGCATACCATGCGTCCTTGATCTGTACCACCCATGAGCAACAAAAGCAGAACTTATGGTCGCATGTGATGTAGAAACTAGGTCTGAGCATAAACGTAACTCTCAAATTGTGGGTTCACTGTTAAGGAAGTGAGCGATGTTTGGGGTGGCGACAGATGCGGTATCCATTTATATCAATATACATAGCCGTACAGAACTCAAGAAAACAAAGCTTCTCGACTAAAATAGGGTGGGATCACTAAAAAAAAACAACGTTTGTGCGACCTCTTTAAAGACAAACACACAGCAATCAAAT